TGTTAGTTTGAAATGCTTTACGTCATTGTTGATACCAGTTAGACTACTTAAGAGGTGATGATGGACTCTAAATCAAGGTCCATTTTTATACAGCTTAAGGTCTCCTTCATCAAGTTACTTCTGGAGTGGTTGTGGGTTTGCGTGGAGGAATGGGGTGAGCTGATAATTTTAAACGTTTCTGAGGTCCTTGGTTAATATACAAAATATCTTAGAGTTTCAATAGAAAATAGAAGGAGCACATATTCAAATTATTATTAGCTCAGTCTTTGGAAATTTGCATTGTGCCTTATTCGCTTCCCGAAAAATAACTCGATGGATAATGGGTTTTTAGAACTCCAGGCGTTATACCTATGATGTGGACAAGTAGAAAACTACTGATGAGATTCAGAATCTTAATGACCTTGAACAGACTATTAAACAACAACAACAACAACAACAGCAGCCACAACAAAAGCAACAGCAACACCACCACCAACAACAAGAACTTTGTAATTCTGTGATAGTGAAATGTGTCAGAGCGTAGAGAGACCTGTGAATGTGTGGCACGTATAACTTTACTGTGTGAGTGTGACCCACAACATTTGAGTGTGTATATCAAGGTCCACTCTGTTGGCCTACAACTCAAGTACTCCTTCATCAAGGTACTTGGTTTAGGGGAGGGGAAAGGGGGAGGGGGTTACTTTTTGGCGTTTCTCGCCCCTATTGGTATGGCTTTGAATGTTTAGGAAGTAGGGATGGACACCAAGACACAGTCCACTCTATACAGCTCAAGTTTTCCTTCATCAAGCTACTTGAGAGATGGGAAGAACGGGAAAGGGTGGTTGGGGATGGGGGGCTGGGGTGATACTTTAAAATGGTATTGGTACAAGTTGGAATTTTAAGAGGTTCACTCTAGACATCTCAATTTTTCCTTCATCAATGTACTTCGGGGGTGGTGGGGGAAATGAAGGTGTAGTTTGAAATGTTTTACGTCGCTGGTACGTCGAGTTGGAATGTTTAGGATGAAGTTATGGACTTCAGTACAAGGTCCACTCTGTTGGCCTACAACTCAAGTACTCCTTCATCAAGGTACTTGGTTTAGGGGAGGGGAAGGGGGGGCTGGTAGTTTTTGGCGTTTCTCACCAATTGGTATGACTTTGAATGTTTAGGAAGTAGGGATGGACACCAAGACAAAGTCCAC